ATGATATCTTTTGTATCATCAAATCTGACAGTTTACATCTCATTCACAGCACCCTAAACAGTTTCAACTCCCATATAAAGTTCACATATGAAACAGAACAAAATAGTGTTTTACCGTTTTTGGGTATTTTAATTATTCGTACTCCACATAAGTTCCACTCTACAGTATATTATAAGAAGACCATTCCACCGCAGTATACCCATTTCTCCTCCAATAGTCCGATTGCACATAAAATTAATACAGTCAGGACATTATCAAAGAAAATTTTCACTCATTGTTCCCTACCCATATTTAAAACAATAGAAAAAGCCAGAATAGTATCCACTTTAACTAAAGCAGGTTATCCCAGACCCTTTATTCATAGGCATTTCTATGATCCATCTGTTTCAAGATCCACCACTTTACACAGAGCTACCTGTTTTCTTCCATATTCTAACTCATCGCTTGCAATATCCAGAATCCTCCGTCCTTTTGGAATTAAAGTACACTACAATAGTTCTCCTTGTTTGTCCACCATATTAAGACATCCAATCACCAAAGCTGACAGTCCTAACCTTCCCATACATTCTGCAGGAGCAGTATATGTCGTCTCATGCCAAGATTGCTCATCCACATATGTGGGTGAGACAGGCAGAACGACATATATCAGACTAACCGAACACAAACGCAATATCCGTAATAAAGACCCTAAATCGCTAATATATCAACATAGAGCACAAACAGGTCACCAGTTTAACTTAGATCACCCAAAAATCTTATACCGTAATATACACAATAAGTACAATAGACTTTATTTATAATCAGTCATATCCAACCAAATCAACAGCATTAATAGAAAAATAGATATCCCAGACATATACCAGGTTCTTTACAAATAATCATATAATATTCTGATTCAACTTAAACACAAGAAGGTGGGACCCCCTGTCTTGTGTATCTTGGTGTTTAGCCCAATTTTATTGATCACTAACTTCTATATATTTTAATCTCCGTATTTAATATTTAATTTTAGATTATACCGTATTAAATTATATGTCATATATGGAAATTTTTAAATTTCTCCAATTTTGTACATGCAAAATTCTAAGTCATAAATATTTTTTATTCTTTTAGTTTTACAGATATATGTATGTAAATATTGTCCTCTTTATAATGGCTCAATGATCGGTTATATGCGTTAGTTTTACAACTATCCTTGCCTGTAGAAGGACGTATAGTCCGAAAGCTTGCACAATAAATTTATAAAAGAAGCTCCTCTTATCTTTTTTATGCTTATTCGTTTAACTTTGACTCTGTAACTAGGTGTTGTCCTTTACAGAGAGGTAGTTCTACTGTAGCAACTCTCTGGTAAGAGGACACCTCTCTCTAAAGGACACTTTGGCTCTGTAACTAGGTGTTGTCCTTTACAGAGAGGTAGTTCTACTGTAGCAACTCTGGTAAGAGGACACCTCTCTCTAAAGGACACTTTGGCTCTGTAACTAGGTGTTGTCCTTTACAGAGAGGTAGTTCTACTGTAGCAACTCTGGTAAGAGGACACCTCTCTCTAAAGGACACTTTGTCTCTGTAACTAGGTGTTGTCCTTTACAGAGAGGTAGTTCTACTGTAGCAACTCTGGTAAGAGGACACCTCTCTCTAAAGGACACTTTGGCTCTGTAACTAGGTGTTGTCCTTTACAGAGAGGTAGTTCTACTGTAGCAACTCTCTGGTAAGAGGACACCTCTCCTTAAAGGACACTTTGGCCCTGTAACTAGGTGTTGTCCTTTACAGAGAGGTAGTTCTACTGTAGCAACCTCTCCTTAAAGGATACTTTGGCTCTGCAACTAGGTGTTGTCCTTTACAGAGAAGTTCTACTAGTAAGAGGACACCTCTCCCTAAAGGACACTTTGGCTCTGTAACTAGGTGTTGGCCTTCACAGAGAGATACTGTAACAACTCTCTGGTAAGAGAACACCTCTCCATAAAGGACACTTTGACTCTGTAACTAGGTGTTGTTCTTTACAGATATATTTTTTACAGTATTTCCACACAGGAACGATGCCTCTGAGGCTGTTCTAGCAATCCACTGATGCTCAGCAAGGCTGATATGTTGCAGCACGGAGCCAGGGTAGAATTGGCTGATAACAAGGGACGTACAGCTCTCTATCACGGCGTCTACTCCGGTAGCCTGGACACGGCCCAGTTGTTGCTACAGAGAGGGGCCAACCCTAATACCCCGTAAGTTTCAGCCGTGAAAACTTTCCACATACAACAGGAGGGTTCATTAGATATCATTTCAAAGAAGAGATTAAAGTTAACTGCAACAAGTTCCTTTATGATGCACTAGCGCAACATCTGTTATGAAGGTGGTCGGTGGAAGGATGGTCTAAACCGTTGGTTTTCGACCACTACGACCCGGATTTGATTCCCGCATTGGGCACTTTTTTCTGATAAAAAAAAAAAAAATTGCTAAATGGCCCCCGATTCTTGCAAAAGTTCAACCCCACCAGCTAGTGCAATTAACCAAACGAGGCTATGGCACATTTGTAAGTGCAAAGTCGAACTGCTTTTCATATGTGTAGACATATGGTGCACTTACAGTAAAAGCACTTGCCTACTTCTACCCACCATGATTATCATGGCCGGTACGACATGTACTAGGGATAAGCAAAAAAAAAAAATCTGTTATGAAAATTCGAAACTATTATAGATGCGTATGATTCTCTAAAAAAAAAATTGGAGGGTTCACCACTGATGAATCAGGTCCTCCCATTAATTTTTCCATTGCAGTAAGTACAGTAGAAATTGTTTAATTTTTAAAAGAATCGTAAGCGTCTATAATAGTTTCATATTTTCAGAACAAGTTTCTTTATTAAAGTGATATATAAGCTTGGCAACCTTTAAGACAATAACCTCTCACAGCAGACGAATATAAATACATTCTATTCTATTCATATACAGCCTGTTTAAGGATGTTATTGTCTGAAAGCTCGCCAAGCTTATACCTTTTCAATAAAGGAACTCATCACCCTTAGTTTTAATCTTTTAAAATATTTCCTATATACAATTTAAAACTTGTAAACAGCATCTCTGCTGATCCCTGTTGCTCTTAGTGTGCATCAAAGGACTTTTAGGTGACTATATGGACAGCTATTCTCCAATTTGATCTGTTAGTGACCATCACTCTCAGCTCATCACACTGTTTCTGTTGTTGTTAGTGTCCATCAAGTCAACTTCAGGTGACTATATGGACAGCTATTCTCCAATTTGATCTGTTATTGACCATCACTCACAGCTCATCACACTGTTTCTGTTGTTGTTAGTGTCCATCAAGTCAACCTTAGGTGACTATATGGACAGCTATTCTCCAATTTGATCTGTTAGTGACCATCACTCACAGCTCATCACACTGTTTCTGTTGTTGTTAGTGTCCATCAAGTCAACCTTAGGTGACTATATGGACAGCTATTCTCCAATTTGATCTGTTAGTGACCATCACTCTCAGCTCATCACACTGTTTCTGTTGTTGTTAGTGACCATCAAGTCAACTTTAGGTGACAATATGGACAGCTATTCTCCAATTTGATCTGTTAGTGACCATCATTCACAGCTCATCACACTGTTTCTGTTGTTGTTAGTGTCCATCAAGTCAACTTTAGGTGAATATATGGACAGCTATTCTCCAATTTGATCTGTTAGTGACCATCACTCACATCACACTGTTTCTGTTGTTGTTAGTGTCCATCAAGTCAACTTTAGGTGACTATATGGACAGCTATTCTCCAATTTGATCTGTTAGTGACCATCACTCACAGCTCATCACACTGTTTCTGTTGTTGTTATTGTCCATCAAGTCAACTTTAGGTGACTATATGGACAGCTATTCTCCAATTTGATCTGTTAGTGACCATCACTCACAGCTCATCACAATGTTTCTGTTGTTGTTAGTGTCCATCAAGTCAACTTTAGGTGACTATATGGACAGCTATTCTCCTATTTGATCTGTTAGTGACCATCACTCACAGCTCATCACAATGTTTCTGTTGTTGTTAGTGTCCATCAAGTCAACTTTAGGTGACTATATGGACAGCTATTCTCCAATTTGATCTGTTAGTGACCATCACTCACAGCTCATCACACTGTTTCTGTTGTTGTTAGTGTCCATCAAGTCAACCTTAGGTGACTATATGGACAGCTATTCTCCTATTTGATCTGTTAGTGACCATCACTCTCATCTAGTGACTTTCTGGTAGCTTCCTTGACTCCTTCCAGCCATCTTATTGCAGGTCTTTTTCTCTTCCTTCAATGTTTCCCAACATCAATATCTTTTCTAAACCATGATTTTCAAAAAAGAGTTTCTCTATCTTGTAATCTCCAAGAAAAATCTTCTATAAGACCAGTATGTCTTAAAAAAGGTTTTATGTATGTGTGTGTTATTCATATATTTTGCCAATTTCTTTTCACTTTTTTTGTTTACTTTTCTTGCTTTCTATGTCTCTTTGCTAATTTTTTCTTGATTAAATTTCTCCTCTTTCTTTTCATATACTTTTTATTTAAATGGTTAACTTGGATTCTCCCAGAATAATATACTTTTTTTTTTTAATAGGAAATATCAATGATATTTTCAGATATGCTTTTAAATATACTGTTAAACCTGTCTATAGCCCCCCTCTTGGGACTCACAAAATAGGGTGCTATAGAGAGGGGGTACTATAGACAGGTCACTTTTAATGTAAATCGCATTGTACTACGTATTTAAAATCGGGCGCTATTTAGAGGGGGCGCTATAGACAGGTCACTTTTAATGTAAATCGCATTGTACTACGTATTTAAAATTGGGCGCTATAGAGAGGAAGGCGCTATTTAGAGGGGGCACTATAGACAGGCTTAACTCTATTTAAAAAAAAAAAGTTTTTTTTTTCCAATTTTAATTCTAAGAATAATTATTTAGGGTTCTCAGAAAGCTATCTTTTTATCTGCTATCTTGTTTACATAATTGATAAGAGTAACTATTTAAAACATGCTGTGATAAAATTTCTCATTCTTTACCGGCTCTCGTCCGATCACCAAAGTTAAGCAATGTCGGGCCCGGTCAGTACTTGGGAGGGTGACCACCTGGGAACACCGGGTGTAGCTGTAGACTATTACCTTTTGGGGCTCAAAAATCATCTATTTTGTTTAGCAGCCACATAAATAAAGATATTTCCAAATTTCTCATTCAGTACTTCTGTCTGAAGATGGTAACAACGCTGTTACTGAAATGTCACACACTATTTAATTTATTTGGATTTGGTCGTATTACCTTATGTTTATAATCTATAATCCAAATAGTGCTTTATCATATTTATTCAGATGTATTTCCACAGTTGGGATGCTGTTGTTCCAGAGATAAAGTTCAAGGCCTCACTCCCCTGATGATGGCAGCTGAAACTGGAAACCTGGACATGGTCAAATTGCTACATGAACATGTAAGTTCTCTTATAACCATGTTGATGACACCTTGTTTTAAAACTTCAACAGAGGTCAGAAAATACAATCAAACCTCTGATTAATTTACATAATATACATTTATGTTGTTGTTTCTTATCCCCTTATGCAAAGATTACACAAATTCCATGAGTCCATGCTCCTCCAGCTTGCTCTCATGGAATGGGGGGTAGGGGTGCAGCTTTCATTGATCATGGCACCATGATCCAGGCACACTTTGGTGAAAGTCTGACTTCGCCTGTAGTTTGAGGCTGTTCCTAACATGAAAGCCTTTGCTGCCAACTTTATCATGAGTACAGACTCTTCCATATCCCTGGAGAGGAAACCCTTGTTGAGGTCTATCAACCGGGTCAGTTGAACTCTGGATTTTAAAAATCCAAAAATTGTTCTTTAATAATTTATGAAGATTTCTTTTGTGACGTTGCTTTGGTGAATTCTACCTCTCAGCATTGTGCTTATCGTCTGAAGGTTCCTGAGTGTATTAAGCCTCTGTGTTGATGTTGCAGGGGGCAAATGTGAGCCACAAGACTCCTGATGGACTCACAGCTCTCAGTCTGGCCAAGAAACACAGCTACAAGTACATTGTGGAGTTTCTACAACAGTCTTCCTCCTTGGCTGGGTTACAAGGTAGTCTTTCTTAACTGTTGTCTTAGTAGTCTGTGGAAATTATGGTCACGGGAATATGACTTTGTCTATATACAAGGTTAATAAAACCAAGTAAATAAATAAATAGTGTGTGATGTTTCAGCAACAATGTTGTTACTGAGACATATTAACTATTTATTTATTTGGATTTGGTCTTATTTTACCTTGTAGCTCCTATCTGTAATTAAAATTGTGCCTTATTAGTAAGGCAATCAAAGTAATTTTGATTGATGAAAACTGTTCTTTGTAGGGAGGTGCCCTCTTAACAGAAAGTTGCTAATTTGTAAAAATGGTAATTTGAATGATGAAAACTCTACTTTTTAGAGAGGTGTCCTTTTTATAGAAATTTTCTAATTAGTAAAAATGTCAATTTTGGCGATGAAAACTGTTCTTTGTAGGGAGGTGCTCTCTTAAAAGAAAGTTGCTAATTTGTAAAAATGGTAATTTTGGTGAAGAAACCTTCCCTTTATACGGAGGTGTCCTCTTACCAGAAAATCGCTAAGTAGTACAAATGGTCATTTTGACGGTGGAAACTGTTCTTTGTAGAGAAGTGTCCTCCTAACAGAAAGTTGATAATTTGTAAAAAATGGTTATTCTGGCGATAGAGAGAGGTGTACTCTTCCCTGGAAAACTGCTAATTAGTAAATATGGAAATTTTGGTTATTAAATCTGCCCTTTGTAGAGAGGTGCTCTCTTAACAGAAAGTTACTAAATAGCAAAAATGGTAATTTTGGCAATGAAAAGTGTCCTTTGTAGAGAGGTGTCCTCTCATGTAGCGTGTGTCCTACTGTAGATATGTAAAGAGGTGAAGTGTTGACAGTGCAATGACTGTTACAGCGTCTCTCTCCGCCCTCACCACAACTGGCCTACCTCTCCCTCAGCCCTCAGGTAGGTTGGTAGACAATATGGCTCAGTAACTAGATGTCCTTATCACTACTTTTGTCTGATGATGGTAACAACACTGTTACCAAAACATCACACACTATTTATTTATTTATTTGGATTTAGTCTAAATGCTCCAATGGCCCCCGATTCTCACAAAAGTTCAACACCACCAGCGAGTGTAAGTAACCAAATTAGGCTCTGGCACATTTGTAGGGCAAAAGTCAAAATGCTTTTCACATGTATAGACATGTGGTGTACTTACAGTAAAAACTGTCCCAACTTCTACCCACAAGGATTATCATGGCCTGTACCATATGTAGACATGTGGTGTACTTACAGTAAAAGCAGTCACTAACTACCCACCAGGACTATCATGGCCTGTACCATATGTAGACATGTGGTGTACTTACAGTAAAAGATAGTCACTAACTACCCACCAGGACTATCATGGCCTGTACCATATGTAGACATGTGGTGTACTTACAGTAAAAGATAGTCACTAACTACCCACACCAGGACTATCATGGCCTGTACCATGTGTAGACATGTGGTGTACTTACAGTAAAAGCAGTCGCTAACTACCCACCAGGATTATCATGGCCTGTACCATATGTAGACATGTGGTGTACTTACAGTAAAAGCAGTCACTAACTACCCACCAGGACTATCATGGCCTGTACCATATGTAGACATGTGGTGTACTTACAGTAAAAGATAGTCACTAACTACCCACCAGGACTATCATGGCCTGTACCATATGTAGACATGTGGTGTACTTACAGTAAAAGATAGTCACTAACTACCCACCAGGACTATCATGGCCTGTACCATATGTAGACATGTGGTGTACTTACAGTAAAAACTGTCGCCAACTTCTACCCACCATGATTATCATGGCCTGTACCATATGTAGACATGTGGTGTACTTACAGTAAAAGACAGTCGCTAACTACCCACCAGGATTATCATGGCCTGTACCATATGTAGACATGTGGTATACTTACAGTAAAAGACAGTCGCTAACTACCCACCAGGATTATCATGGCCTGTACCATATGTAGACATGTGGTGTACTTACAGTAAAAGCAGTCAACAACTTCTACCCACCATGATTATCATGGCCTGTACCACATGTACTAGGGATAATTAAATAGAATAAAAATATTAAGTCTTATTATCATGTAGTTCCATTATATTTAATTTGGTTTCAATCTATCTCTCTCTAGTGACTCATATGAACTTTCCCATTTTTGAAGGTTCCCAGATGTATTGGTGAAGCAGGTTGTCCTCAGCTTCGAGCCCTGCTGGAGAGGATTGGACTGGGGAAGTACTTTGAGATGTTGGCCAGACAGGAAGTGGACCTGGCTGTTTTCCTCACCCTAGACGACAGGGATCTGAGAGAAGTGGGCGTCTCGTAAGTCTCTGTACATTGCCCAGCCAAACTTCCCATATCTATTCTGAAAGGAAGCAATATTTCAATTTGGTCAATTATACATCCACTGAAGCATAGGGCGCCTCTCCCATCAAAATAAACATCGAAACCAGACGCCATCTATTGACTGTCACCGCAACTAGCGGCCTCGGGTCGGTGACAAAGCCACAACACCAGCTTTGGCAAATTGAGAAGCGTCCACCTAGAGACCATGGTTTCGGGCTAATGACCCTCTTCAGTCTAGGGCGGACTTTATTCCATGAGATGCACACAGGATCTAATGGAATCTTCACAATCTACCAAAGAGGTGTTTTGCTGGCAAGGTGGATGGGCCAAATCTATGGCTAGAATATAGATGGAAAATTTGCCGGGAGGAAATTGATCCATAGAAGAATAGGGCGCCTCTCCTGTCAAAATAAACGTCAAAACCTGACCCCATCTGTGCTTCTATGGATCAATTTCCTCCCGGCAAATTTCCCATCATACATCCACTGTTTCAACTTTTTCTTTTTGCCATCTTTTTTAAAATCCTTTTTCTAAGTTGTTTGAAAATTTAGATAGAGTAGAATTAATAAAATGATAATCTCCCTATTTGCTTAAAAAAAAAAAGAAACACAAGAAACAACAACACTAATCTATTCAATGTACACCATGGACAAAAACCTTAAGGAAATATCATATTTTGATTTCATGGTCATCTCTCTTTTCTTTTGAAAAAGACAGAGGCAATTTTGTTTACACTTGGTTATCTTGTGTGTCTTCAATAAAGGTCACTGTGTATCAAATATCTTTCAAAGTTGTTGTCTGAATCCAGATATACATGCTGAAAGGTACAACTTCCTTAAGTTTTGTCCATGAGTGTATCTTTCAGAGTTATTGTCTGAATCCTGATATACATGCTAAAAGGTACAACTTCCTTAAGTTTTGTCCATGAGTGTATCTTTCAGAGTTATTGTCTGAATCCCGATATACATGCTGAAAGGTACAACTTCCTTAAGTTTTGTCCATGAGTGTATCTTTCAGAGTTATTGTCTGAATCCCGATATACATGCTGAAAGGTACAACTTCCTTAAGTTTTGTCCATGAGTGTATCTTTCAGAGTTATTGTCTGAATCCTGATATACATGCTAAAAGGTACAACTTCCTTAAGTTTTGTCCATGAGTGTATATTTCAGAGTTATTGTCTGAATCCCGATATACATGCTGAAAGGTACAACTTCCTTAAGTTTTGTCCATGAGTGTATCTTTCAGAGTTATTGTCTGAATCCCGATATACATGCTGAAAGGTACAACTTCCTTAAGTTTTGTCCATGAGTGTATCTTTCAGAGTTATTGTCTGAATCCCGATATACATGCTGAAAGGTACAACTTCCTTAAGTTTTGTCCATGAGTGTATGTTTCAGAGATATTGTCTAAATCCCGATATAGATGCTAAAAGGTACAACTTCCTTTAGTTTTGTCCATGAGTGTATCTTTCAGAGTTATTGTCTGAATCCCTATATTCATGCTAAAAGGTACAACTTCCTTAAGTTTTGTCCATGAGTGTATCTTTCAGAGTTATTGTCTGAATCCTGATATACATGCTGTTGTTGTTGTTGTTGTTTCTTATCCCCTTGTGTAAAGATTACACGAATTCCATGAGTTCATGCTCCTCGAGCTGTTTTATGATGAGCAGCGGCCTCTCCCAAAGGTCC